AAAAAAATTTATCAAAACATCATGCATTTTGTTATTTTTCAAATTGACTTACTGATAATAATTCCATATTTTCCTGATAAAAATTTCTTTTATTATCATATTTTATGCTATATTTAATCAATAATTATAGCTTGGAATGAGTTCTAACCGTAATATTCTTTTTTTTTTTTCTTTTATGGATTATGTGCAGCATTTTATACAGGTACAGCAAAAAATAGATAATATCAAAATTAAAAATACTTCCTAATTAAGATACAATACTTTGTGTAGCGAAAAATTCTTTAATTAGGAAAAATAAAAAAAAAATTTCAATTTTTTTTTTTTTTTGTCAATTGTAATATGAAATGAAATTAATTGGAATGAATTGAAATGAAATGAATAAATGATTAAACACAATTTATTATATTCATGTATTTTTATTAGACAATATTCATTCATTTATGAATAAATGCCACTACTATTTTTGTTTTCTCGCCTTTCCTTTTCCATTGTATTTGTCTTCATTTTTTTTTTTTTTTCTCACTTTAACACTGAACAATTGATTTATTTATAATTAAAATAAATCGAAAAAAAATTTCAATATAATAAAATTCTGAAATTTATTCAAATTATTTTAATTAATTAATTAAATTCTTGTAAGTATAAGTGCTAATTTAAATTTTCATTTTTATACGTATATGTATGGGCATTTTAAAAAATAGTTTAAAACTACATATATATATATATATATACTTCATGAATTAGAAATACTATTTGCTTTTACGAGCAAATATTGCCCATATCGGATATGTTGAAGAATAAATATGCATATTTTATTAAATTATGCAAATATTTCATATTAGCATATTATATCATTTATCATATCTGCTTATCTGCAATTAACTTTGCTTTTCTTTTTTTTTTTTTTTAATATGTCTATGTAAGAGTTAATTTAATCAATCAAACATATCAATTGTGTAATAGTAATGAAAAAATTTTGTAAAAAAAAGAACTGTTCCATTTCGAAATAGCAAAAATACAATCAGTGATGGAATTAATTATTGTCAACATTTGTCAATTTTAGTTGACACATTCAAAGTTTTATTAAACAACAAAAACGAAAGGAAAAAAAAAAGGAAAGATGAGTAGTACCTGCTAAATTCTAATTTATATTTTATTACTTTTTTTTTTTCTCCAAAATTCCATGACTGCATCATTTGCAATGTCTAATTTACTAATTTATCATTCCTTGCATAAATCATTTTACCGGAATTTTCAGTCCAGTACAGTTACCGGTTATTGCACCATTTTTACCTAATATGTTTTATTAGCTGCTATTTTCATTTAAATACTTTGAGAATTTTTAACAATTTATAAGCTAACTATTTCTGTTGGAAAATTATGAGTAATGATGCAAACAACAAAAATGCATTGCATAGCTTACATTTGCAGTTATGCATGCTTTTCAAACAATTATTTCCAATATGCATGAATAAGCACAAATGCTAGAAGAAAGAGCAATTTATACATTTGTGCATAATTTTTTTTACTCTTAATTTTTAAAAGCTGAATTTTATCAGAGAGTTGCAGTATTTGTAAAGTTTTAAAAATGTGATATAGCTTGAAATTGACTGGTAGTAGCGTTTTTTCAGTGGTGAAATTACATTCAGCGTCGATTATCACCAATTGTATTGGAATTTTTATTCCAATTCTGCATTAAATGAAATTAACCCAATTTTAAACTGTAATTAATAATTCAATATGCTAAATTACTTTTATATAATTTTAAACTTCTATTTTAACAAATACAAAATGATAATTAACTGATAAAGCTCCCAATGGGGCCTTTGTCAGTTAATTATCATTTTGTATTTGTTAAATTGTGCTCCTTTAGTTATATTAAACTTTTGATTTTGTAAAATTAAAAAAAAATTTGGAATATAATTTATTACCTACCAGATATTTTATTTAAAACGTTACCAATAAAATAAATGTGATGCAAATTAACAAATCATTAATTGAGATAAAAGTACTTAATTATGAAAATTTTAATAAAAGGTCAAACTAGTATTATTAAAAGGAGATTAACTTGAATGACAAAGTTAATTCATGTTGATAATTAATTTCAATTGCATACATATACGTATACATTCATTCTTGCATAGAAAATTAGAAAATTAAAATTTGGGTTAATATTCTGATACCATTGATAAGATTATATGAAATGCTTACATGATCTTCCTGTTTAGCTTGCAATTAAGCTTACATCATAAATTTGCAATTGATAATAATCAACGATAATGCTAATTACGAATAAAATAACTTAGCTTTATCTTTCATCTATCAGTTAAATATTATATTTCATTTATGATATGATAATTTAATTCTACCATTTATCATTTTATGGTCAAAATATGCTTTCATAACAATATATTTTTTAAAATGATTTTAATTCCATTTCAATAAACAAAAGATATTAATAAATAACAAAAAAAAATTAAAATACATTAAATTATATGCAAATTCTAAATTGTCAAATCAGTAACATTGCTGATTAACAATAGTTAGCTGCAAATTTATGCATGCAAACATGATTGCAAGCTAAACAGAAAGATGATGCAAGCATTTCATACAATCTTATTGATAGTATCAGCATATCATTTCAAATTATTCCTAATTAATTTTTTTGTCATTAATGAATTTTATATGTATGTATGATTAACTACTTATTAGCATGAATCAATCTTATCATTGGAAATGTCAACCATCCTATAATTACATTTGGGATAATAAAATATATTAGATTAAAAAAAGTTTAAAAAAAAAAGAAAGGAGAAGTAAGAATAAGAAAAGGGTGAAATTATCCTTTTGTTATACCTAAATAATGCTTTCAATTTTCATTTTTCCACATTTATTGTAAAAGAAAAAAGAAAAACGATTTATTGTTAATCAGTCACATTTCCGCATTCTTCATTTCATGCAATTACATTTAAACCATTTCAATTGTATTAATGACCTTGGGAAGAAAATGAAATGTAATGTAACCTTTCACCATTAACCCCGTAAGATGCATTTTCAATTTTAAAATTCTTTCAATTTAAATTTTGAAAAAGAGAAAAAGAAGTGAGAAAGAAATAAGAAAATACATTTTCTTTTTTTTTCTTTTATATAATTATTAATAAATTATTTATTCATATTGCAAGTACTGTAATGTAAGCAAGCAAGCAAGCAATATGTATGATAATTATTCTGCCAAGATAAATTAATGCATTGAAATATTTGAATACATATTTATTTTTTAATTGTATTACTTATCATTCATTTGCTACTTATTATCTGATTTATCTTTTTTTTTTACTTAATTATTTATTTATACATTTGTTGCATATTTCGTTTGCTTATCAAATTTTACTTATCATTTATTTGTCATACATTTCCTATTTATTGCTCATTTATCCTTAATATGTTATCCATTTCTTATTTGTTTCTTATTTATTACTAATTATCTATTTGTCACTTATCCCTTCCACTGTTATCCATTATCATTTATTATTTACTTATCATTTATCACTTATATCTATCTACCATTGTTTACTTATTTGCTATTAATTCTTTATTTCTTTTTGCCATTCATTTATTATTTGTGAATTATTTGCTAATCTACCGATACTTCATCATTGATACTGTTTTTATTTGTTTCTTATTTATTACTAATTATCTGTTTAATTACTAATTATCTATTTGTCACTTATCCCTTCCATTGTTTTCCATTATCATTCATTATTTATTTATCATTTATCATTTATATCTATCATTGATTACTTATTTCCCACTAATTCTTTATTTCTTTTTGCCATTCATTTATTATTTGCTAATTATTTGCTAATCTACCAGTACTTTATCACTGATATTATTCTATGATTATCTTGCAAAGTTGATTAGCTTTTTAATTGTGAAAAATTTTTCTTTTCTTTCCGTCTTTTCTTTGTTATTTTATTCTTTCGTTCTTCACATTCCTTTGATATAATTGATAATATCATTAACAAAACAATACATTAAAAGATAAATATTATTGTTATCAAAGAATTGTAAACTTAATCAATACGGTATCCATTAATGGCATAATGATAACTTTAATTAGGAAATATACCGTATATGATGAAATTAAAACCTGTTATAATCATAAATATTCGAAGAGGATGAAATACATTTTATCCTACACCTCCAAATTATCCCGTATTTAACAAATGAAATTATCATGATAATGTAATAGTGATTAATTTTTTTTTTTTAGAAAAAAAATTTAACAAAATTAACGTTTTTAATTGCAGTAGCAATTTCATCTTTTACAAATAACATTTATCTGGTAAAATATTACAATGAATCATCCTATTGAAAATATTTTATGAATTATTTTCCAAAAATAGTTTGAAGTAAATTTAATGAATTATCAGGATTAGGTGTAGCTCTTTGAGCACCACTTCTTCTTAGCATATTAATCAATCGATCGATGTTTGAACCTCCTGCGGTATGATAATTTTCTCTTTGTTGATATTCTGGTTTAAAAAAATTAGCTAAATTTATCGATGGTGCTAAAGTTGTTTGTCCAAAAAATGTAGGCCCTGAAATATAAAATTTCAAAATAAAATTTATTCAATAATAAAATATTTGCAAAATTATAAATTTTTTTTTTATAAAATTAAAATTATCCCAATGAAACCTTTGCTTCATTTATCTTTAGCTAAAAGAATTAATTCACATATTTCTGTCCAATTTATCTGTGATAAATGGAATGGAATACTGTAATTTTTCAATAACAAACCTAAAAAAGTATTCAGCAACGTTTCAATTCCACTTCTTTTTACTGGATGCATTAAACTGTAATCACTACCGTATGCTTGGTCACCATAACCAGTAAATGATAATGAGTTGTATTTGTTGCTGGTTTTTGTATTTGCTCTATCATTTTGTAACCATGGTCGAATGAAATCACTGGCTATACTATTTCTTGATAAACTGGTACCATCATATCTTCAAATATGCAAAAATATAATCTAAAAAAGGTTAAAAAAAAAAAGAAAAAAAAAGTGAAATAAATAATGCCCAACGAAGAAGATAAAAGAATGAAATAATATACGAGTGATAAAATATACTTTATCAGTTGTTGATTACAATGTTCTAATATCTTCAATTAATTGTTATCAATTGTACATTACTTCATTATTACTTAACAACATAAATCTAACTATTATTCTTAACATTCATTCTCTATCCGATTAATCATTATGTGACAATTCTTTTGTAATCTAATTAATTAAAATTTCATTTAATAATTCATAATTTGTAATATATAGGTAATTTTATATGTTCAAAATAATGAAATAAAATAAATAACCCAACAGAATCGTACACATTCTTTGCATTATTAATGATTGAACCACCAAAATTCATTAATTGTGCAGCCATTCCATAAACTATAATTAATAAAAATTCTCAATGAATTAATTAGAAATAAATATAAATGAAAAAAATCTCATCCTTTCTTATCAATTTATATTTGAAAATATTATACAACAATATATATTTACTAATATATTAAATTCTCTTTAAATATTGCCAAACTTTTTTAAGAAATGTCATTTGTAAAATAATTTGCAAATAAAGGGTGACATTTTCGCTTTTGTTTTTTGTTTCTTGTTTTTTTTTTTTGATATACATATTTATTGCAATTAATTCGGATGTTTGCAAATATATAATTTCAAAACTTCATGATGTAATTAGCTAATGGCTAACAATTAATTGGACATATTATTGATTTCATTCAACAAGAGAAATTAATTTTATTGCAAATCATTTTTAATCTAATTTTCATTCTGATCATCATCAAATTAAAGATTGCATTTTTTTCTTTTCGGATAAATTCTGCTACCTTTTACTAAATTTAGAATATAGTTACAAACAAAAAAAAAAATCAGCATGGTTAAAATTATTAATTACTATTAATAATTACTTACTTTTACATTAAATTTACTTCATTTGACAAATTTTTATCGGGTATAGTTAATTTAAATATGTCACATTTGCTAGTCTTAATATAAATCATGTTCATAATAATAATTATGAAAAATGACAAAGTATTATTGTTAGCAAAAGTTGTCAGATGAAATATATGCAAATTAAACTCAGTTCAAGTGGTAATTATTGTAAAATTGGGACAAAATTGTGGATCATTGATGAAAGCGAGAAAAGAAATTCCTTATTTCTTGATTTTTAAAATTTTGAAATTTTTGAAATTTATTATTTCTAATAGCACTTTCAGTTAATTCCAACTATTATTATTAGTCGCAAATTTTAAATCTGTTGTAAACATATGTTAGCATTAAAATGTTAATTGAAAAAAAAAAGAGGTCAATTTCATGAAATTGTTATTTGCCTTTTTAATAACTAATGGAAATAGATTGATCGATTTATTTTTTTGAATATTTCAAAAATTATAAATGCAGTAAATAATACTGCAAAATTTATTACTTTTTACCAAAAAAATTATTTATAGCCAATATAATTCCTTCCATAGCAATTAATTATGTAAATCAAAATAAATAATAAGCATCACCATTAATTAGACAATTACAGTTAAACTAATTGAGTCATTAAAAAAAAAAAAAATGATGCTAATACAAAGAATGATTAAAATAACCCAAATTAAACGAGTAATCATAAAATAAATCAATTAAACAATTAATAATTACCAAACTTTACATTCTTTGAAATTTGTGAATAAATTTCAACAAACTTATTATTTAATACATTGTTCACATTACAATACAATGCAAAATAATAAAAAACATAGTAAAAATTTTTTTTTCCATTATATTTATTTTCTTTATCAAATAGAAATAACACAAATATTTTGAAACAATTTTCAAATATTAAAAAAAAAAAAAAAAAGCTAAACATTTGATGATGCATTACGAAACCTATCAACTTCCTGAACAATTTTTTTCATCATTTCAATTCAGTCAACTATTTAATCTACCCATGGGTAAAATTTACCCATATTAGATGTTTGCTAAAATTTTAAAACAAAACAGTGAGAGGAGGAAAAAAAGAAAAAAAACATACGTTCAATGAATTGTCGTGCTTGATCAGTTAATGCACCAATATCAATACCAGGTGGAGCAGGTAATGGTTGCCCATAAACTAATAATATCCAACAGGTGAACAGCAAAGCTTTACAATATACCATTACATGTAGTAGAAAATTTTCCGTTTCTTCCTTTTTTTTTTTTTTTTCTTTCTTTTCTTTTTTTCTTTTTTTCTTCTTTTTTGCGTTTACTTTTTATCTCTTGGAAATTTTAAAGATTAGTTTGAAAAAAAAAAAGTAAACTTTTCAAAGTATACATTATCAATAAAGCATTGATATAAAATTCATTTCTTTAGCGATGAATCATTCACAAAAATGACATATATTGCTAACATTTGCATATTAATCCTTAATTGGATAATTAAATTACACTTAATAAATTAGTCTTAATCTTAGTTTATAAAATTTCTAACCTTCCATTTATTTGTATGCATTCGCAATAATAATTTATCCTAACATTTCATATTCTATTTTATTTCTTTTAAATTTTTTATTTATTCTTTCACAATCATCTATTGAATGAGTAATCGAAAAAAAAAAGAAATCTGAAAAAAAAAAAGAAAAGAAAAACTTAAAATTAAACCATCGAATTTAAATGCATCTAATCAAGTAATGATTTTATGATAAGAATTTAATAAAAATGAAATTTAATAATTATAACGTTACCATAAAAATGGATCATATATTACTATGATAAGATTCAACGAAAGTAAAATTTATGTTATTCAATGGAATGAAGTATGCCAAAATGAAATCGCTTCCCTCCTAATATCCATCCAACAATTAGTTACTATAAAGGTTGACATTTCCAACAACAGGTAGTTTGCATGTGTATGTGTATGTGTCTGTGTCTGTGTGTGTGTGTGTGTGTGTATGTGTATGTATGTGTATGTTTGCATATGTATACATATATGTAAGTGTATGTGTAGGTGCATTGCCATATATTACATATATATGAAGGTGCATACCGTCTAGATTTGATGAAAAAAGAAATATAATGAATGAGTTTGGTAAGGGAGAGGATTTGTAGTGGATACAGGATACAGGAAAGTAGGAGGTTCCGGGAATTTTCTTTTCCGATATTCGCCCTCTTTTCCTTTTAATTATCAAATCTACGAACATATATGTTCATTTTAATTGCTGTCACCACAACTGCATTACCATAATTACCATCATATCATCATCACCATTATCATTATCATCATCATCATCATCATCATCATCATCATCATCATCATCATCATCATCATTACGATTATCATTGTCAATATTTTAAATCACAATCATTTCCTTATGCTGACTTATGAAAACGCAAGTAATTAACTCCGCTATTACTGTCCTAAAAGTAATCTTGATATAATTTTAGTGAATTTCATCTTCGATAATGCAACAAAAGAAAAGAGAAAATGGAAAAATGGAACAAAAATAATGATTCTATCTGACGATGCAACACTTTGAACCAATGAACCCAATGCCTACGGGTGACAGTAACATAGGAAATATATAACAGAAATGAATGTCCGAATTTTCAGGATGAAATATTGAGTATTTAAATGTAATTGACAGATGATAATAATAGAGATGATGAGTAGGTTTTGTTTTGTTAAACCATAGAAAGAGAAAGAATAAAAGGACTGGAATTTGAAGTGGATTATCGCTTAGGGCAAAAGGTGATCGTTGAAGAGTTAAGAAGGAATTCCCCGAAGGTACTCAAAATCTGATAATAAATGAATGGTGCAAAATATAAGTAACGCAAAAAATGTCAAGAAAATGACCATTGAAATGGCAAAAGCTAACCTATAATTGTTATTTCAAATATTAATACCAGTATTAACTAATAACAAGTGGTGAGTAGTAAGT